CATACAAAATATTAAGATTGTCGACCAAAATTTTAATTAAATTTTTCAGTTACTAGGAAGTTATCCTACTATATATAAAAAATAGTGTCTTTGTGTGTGTGTGTATATTTGCATGCACTTCCGTAAGTATATTACCGCACCTGCGGCCTCAGGGGAAGGGTTTTAAGGTACGTATGAGACGACATTAGGTGCGTAATGGTCCCGAGATGGGTGCACACATATAAAATTGAAGAAAATCGGCTGTTTTCGCTATTAAGGCCAAGGGTTTTGTAAATATATCGTAAAAACCTCTTTGTTGGGAGGCATTCCGCATTGACCGGGAAGTGGCCGTAGCCTATAAAAATGGAGGGAGCGTGCGCTTTTCATTTTTTGGTGAGCGGCATTCGGCAAGCCCTATGTAAAGTCAAATTTTCAGAAGTCCTAGATGGGTCCAGGGTTGAAAAGCCGTGAAGCAGCGTTTTCAACCCACAATAATATATTAAAAGAAATTAAAAAACTTTTTAATTTCTGATTTAACCATAGTTAAGTCAGCTGAATTTAAGCTTTGACACGTTATTACTATTTATATATCGCCAGCAGACTTCTCCTCTATCGAATTCCAGTCATTTTTCCTAAATTCATTTTTCCTAAATTCATTTTTCCTAAAAATCATTTTTCCTAAAAATCATTTTTCCTAAAAATCATTTTTCCTAAAAATCATTTTTCCTAAAAGTCATTTTTCCTAAAAATCATTTTTCCTAAAGTTCATTTTTCCTATAACCGGTTAAATACCGAAAAGGCCTAGTTCTTTAGCACTATGCATGAGAAAATAGAAATTTTTTTTAGAATAAGGTCAGATCTGCCTTCAGTGACCATAGGAAGTATTTTGAGTTGCGCGTTTAGCCTAGATTTGGGTGATTGGAAGTAGAAAGGATCAATGATAATAAAAAGATTTTCGATAAAAGACTACTAATAGCCAAACCAAACAAATACTGCTAAAAATGTTAGCATTTTGGGAATTTCTTGATATTTTTACGCATCCCTATTGAATGAAAAATTTTAGGAAAAATGAACTTTAGGAAAAATGATTTTTAGGAAAAATGACTTTTAGGAAAATGATCCTCAAGAAAAATGACTTTAAGAAAAATGAGCCAGAAAAATTACTTTAGGAAAAATGATTTTTAGGAAAAATGATTTTTAGAAAAAATGAATTTAGGAAAAAATGAACTTAGGAAAAAAATGATTTTTAGGAAAAATGAACATAACCCTCCTCTATCCACCTCCAATTCCCAGGCCGAGGACACATTTTCCTGGTTGCGTGACGGGGCTACCCCTCCGTTTTTTTCTAATAACGGCCCCCACATTTAGGGGGGCTGCAATGGGCATAGCTATTGCTTTTATGGGATCCGCTAACCGGGGGGCCGAGGGACAGATTTTTTGGAGAAATTTCGAGGGGTTCTAGGTCCTCTGCGCCCACTAATGGGGGCAAAATTTTTCAAAGGATTGCTTAGCCTCTCATATTTCTCCAAACGCCTAAAAATGATCTTTAAAGGCACCGCCTCCTCAAAAGTCTTTGCTGGCTGGCCTGGGCAAAAAGAGAAAAGAAAACAGGAAACGAAAAAGGTGACATTAGAATAATTCCGCAACCCTTTTCGCTCGTTAAAGCTTTCGGACCGTGTCCACGGATTCCGGAAGGTGTCTCTACTAGCTTGCCAAATACGTCTTTTCTCCCTCTCTCTCTCCCTCTATCTCTCTCTCGCTCTCTCTCGCTTTCTTTCCCTTCTCTCTCGCTTTTCTCTCTCTATCTCTCTCTCTCGCTAACTATCTGTCTCTCTCTCATCATCTCTCTCTCGCTCTCGCTTTCAGTCGCTCTCTCTCTCTCTCTCTCTCTCTCTCTCTCTCTCTCTTTCTCTCTCTCTTTCTCTTTCGTTTTCTCTATGCTGTTTCTCCGAAAATTTCCCAAAAATCACTGCTAGCCTGCCTCGTTTGCCCAAATAGCTTTGACTGACAGGTGGCGAGCCAACGTGCACTGGGGTCACATAATTGGGCCTTTTTTGGTGGGCCCAAGACAACAAAAACACTACCGATTTGCGGGTATTCAAGAACTGAATTGGGCCATTGGACCCCCAGCCTCGATTAGGGCCAACGCTCCAAGATGCCCATGGCTGTCAACTGTCAATTTCTCCCCCGGGTTCCGTTGCGCGGCTCTGGGCGAGGGGCAATTAAAGGACGGCAGAAGGCTGGGCGGTGGGTCCCGAATCTCAAGCGATTTATTAGGGGGGATATGCCTTCGGGGCACCGAGAATCGCACTATTTGTCACCATTTAGGCGGGGCTGGGCTTTACCCAGGCTTATATGCAAATTTTGGGGCCCTGAAAAATTGTTTTATGGCCAGCGGGGAATCCTGAATCAGAGGAACGAGAGATTTGACTTGAAACAGGGACCAAAATACAGGTAAACAAAACGTTTGGTGCTTTCGCGTGAACGGGGGTGGGAGAAGTTTTTGTTTCGGAATCACTTTTTCTGTCTTTCTAACAATAGGCTCTTTTTTCATATTTTTTAAGTGCAAGAACTTTTCAACCTTCCATTACAAAATACGAAAATATCGATTCTTCGACCAAAGTTTTGAATTTTTAACAGCTTTTAAAAGTTTTTACATTTAAAATATGTGAAATTATTAAATAAATATGCAGAGCAAAGCTTAAGCCTAAGCCTAAGCCTAAACCTAAGCATAAGCTCAAGCCGAACCTCTAATCTTAAAGCTTTGCCTAGGAGTAAGCCCGAATATTCCCTTCCTGGCGCCCTTCCAGAACCGATCGCGACGAAAGGTCGGGCGCCGCTTTTTGATCGTTTCCTCCTGGGAAAACCGGGGGCTTTGATCCCCCGGATTCATATTATGGTGCTAATTTGCATATGGAGCCTGGTTAGGGGCTAGAAATGGACCAGATGGGGCCCCGGACACGGTGCCAAGATGGGATAATCGAGATCGATGGCCAGGGGGGCAGCTGGCTTTTCCCACATTTTCTTCGGGGTAGAATGTCTCTGTATCTCTCTCTGTCTCTCTCCCTCTCTCTGTTTCTCGCTCTCTCTTTCTCTTCCCATGCCCACTTAGGGCCCTGTCAAACACATCCATTGAAGAGGGCCCACCAACCCCTCGATTAGCCTCAAGGCATGTCATGCATTACAGACAGCCAGGAGGCCCTTGAGGAGGTTGTAAACAAAAAAATATTGGCGACAAGGTCTTTGGACTTTTTATTAAAATTACGGTAAAGGAACGCTCATTCTGGACAACTTAGCCAAAAAGCAAAACCCTTCGCACCGGGCGGGGGTCGAACCCAAGCCTTGCGTCTGACAGGCTGGGCGCTTAACCAATTGGCCAAAGGAACGCGGGGCAAAAAAGACTGAAATGGTTAAGTTGCAAGTTTTATTTTAACTATTTTTGGCGATTCCACAAAGTATCTCTGCTAGCCTGCCAAGGGTTTCTCGCAGATGGTGATAACACCGACTGAAATGAGTTTTTCAGGAGGTCAACGTCGCGTCGAACCCGCTGCAGTGCGACTGTTCGCTTTGGGAGTGGGTATCGTGGGCGGATAAGAGGTAATTTGCATATTTCTCTCTCGCTTTCGCTCTCTCTCTCTCCCACCCTCTCGTTTGTCTCTTTCTCTCTCTCTAGCTCTCACTCTCTCTCTCTCTCTCTCTCTCTCTCTCTCGCTCTCTGTCTGAAATTCCAATTCTAGAAGCGTCGTCGATCCGTCCACCCTACCCTGCAATGAGACCGTGGCCGAAATGCGGCTGTATTCGAGCGAAAAGGTGAGGTTTTCAAGGGCCCGGCAAGGCATCGTCATGGATTTATTTTTACTCATTTCTGCTTTTTACCAATTTTTTAAATTTTACTTCTATTACAGTTTAAAGGGGCCAGAAGGCCAAATTTTCGCCTTGACAGTCTCTTTAAAGTTTCACTCTCAAATATTGTGGATTTTGGGTTGCAAAGGGATATTATGGCATCGTTCGTTCCCAATATATTGGGAGGGACGTTGAAGTGGGGGATATGCACGCGATCTCTTTCTCCCTCTCTCTCTCTCCTCTCTCTCTCTCTCTCCCCGCCTCCCCCGTTAATGGACATTTAGAGATTGTGCATAGGAGTGGTGTGGAAGCTCCCACTACCCCCCGAAATTTGACCCGTCATAAGGGTCGTCAGCCCGATGAAAGGATATCACTAGCCCCCAGAGGGCCCACCACCCACTACGCGACAATCCCCTGGGAATTCCCGGGGGTTCAAGGGTCAGCGATGAAATTTAATGAATTTCCTGGGGGGTCTTTGCTAGATTGCCGGGTTGACGAAGGTTCGACTCCTAGATGGTGCCTGCCGGTGAGGGAAAGCGCGAGAGAGAGAGAAAGATAGAGAGAGAGAGAGAGAGAGAGAGCGAGAGAGCCAGAGGGTGTGGAGAGAGTGTGTGAGAGAGAGGAAGGGAGACCAAACGAGCACAAGAGAAATCGCCAAACCGAAAAACCAAGAAAAATGAAAACTTCTTAAATACTCTTCACTATATTAGCCTTCGAAAATTCTATAAGGCCCTCAAGCAGGCCAGCAGGGATCATTTGCGCCATTCCAGAAATCCTGCGGCCCGATGGTAGACGGTCACTCCGAGGTGGAACGGGTCGAGCTCGCTCAGGGCCAATCTACCGTAATCTGCTGCACGGTGAGTATTTTTGGGTTTGGAGGGACCTGGGAAGCGCATGGTTTCGACTTGATTGTGTCTTGAAAGGGATCACAGCTGCTAATTTTGATTAACATAAACTAGGACGACTCGAAGAAAGCTACCCTGATTCCGAGTCTCTTCTTTAGATAGCGTAACCGGCTGGTTTTTTGCCAATTTCAGATGAGAGTTTCGAACGGGCCTTCCATATCCCGTTTAAACCAGATTTCAGGTTTCCGCACTTCCGGTGGCGGCCGTACACTGGATTCACGGGGGAATTGTGCTGGGCCAGACGGAAGCAACCACGATTTCGGACGGAGGTAGGGCGTAGCAATGGCGAGGCGGAGAGCGAAAGAAAGAGAGAGGGTGTAAGAGCGATGGAAAGAGTGAGGAGCAATTGAGAGAGAGCAAGCTAGGAGAAAGCTAAAATTTAGCCCGCGTTCGCCATTGTATCGACGTCCAGGAGGGGAATGGAGATGCGTACGGGGAGTATCAGTGCGTAGCCTCGGCTAGTGGACGGAACGCTTCAAAAAGGTGCTTAAAATTATTTTTTAACGTGTTTTTTTGATTTCCAGCTTCTTCATCGATACACCGAGGCGGATGCTGCCGCCAAAACCGCCACATTCTCTCTTGTTTTATGGGCAATTTAGGTCAGTAACTGTTTACTCTTTCTCTCGCTCTCTCTCTGTATCTCTAGTTCACGCTCTCCTCTCTCACACTCGTTACCAGAAAATTTTTAATTTCATGCTCCAAGTTATCCAAAAACCCTATATAATTAATATTACAGTTTGGTCATCTTTCTGTTCGTCTTCTGCTTCGCCTCGTACTGCATAATTCGCCGCGACAAGTCGAGGACGAAAACCGACGATTTGTGCCGGAGCGGTGGCCATGTGATACCGATCCTGGTTGACGATGGCTACGACAAATCGATGCACGATTTCCGGATGCAAAAAGGTGAGACAGGGCGAGCTAGCACGGGTTTTTGTTAAAGACCTGCTGTAAACTAGCATCGTCGCGGAATACTGGCAGAAAACGGCCGAAACTCCGGTAGAAGAGGCTTATCATTAAGGCACGAAGTTTAAGCTTAAGGATATAGCATTCGTGCGTCTTAACACCCATACAATGTTTAGAATCCCCGCGCTCCGGCCTCTACGTTGGGCATCAAGATGAGGAATGGCTGGGTGAAGGCTGGGTGCAGCCTAGATATATCCACTCCATACACCAACAACATCATCACCAGCACTATGGAGATGACGACCTGTTGGCGCCGTTGGCCGCTTTTGATCCTGAGTCACGAAATAGCATAACGTTAGCGCATACGGCTGTCTGAATCTAGCTCTACCTTTCTGTTTGACTCTCTCTTTCTCTCTCTCTCTCTCTCTCTCTCTCTCTCTCTCTTTCTCTCTCTTTCTCTCTCTCTCTCTCTCTCTCTCTCTCTCTCTATCTCCAACCACCCACATATTCCCTACCGGTGCTCCCGTGATTTTTTTTTTGCGACCAAACTAATCCAATCAATTTATCACATACGCGAATTGAATCAATTCCAGCAAATTACGCACAAAACTCCACTCGCGGATGCCCGATTCTTCCGATGTGCAAGTTGTAGCAGCAAAAGCCATGCCCAGAACACACTTTATTCGCCTCGAAAAATCACACGCGTACCATCTCCAATTGATCAAAACAATTCCGGCTAGCGGGTATTTAGTGTTGAAACCTAATTTTTGATCAGTGATTGCAAGTAAATGGATGGATTGATGGATAGATAGATGTGTGGATTGATGGATGGATACATCGGTGGGGGCTTCTGTAGGGCAGGCGGGTGGAGAGTAGACGATCAATCGAGGTGGCCCTTCTTCTAGACTTGGGGCTTCTCGTTGAACGCCTTCGGGTTCTTGGATGGCAGGAACGGGCGCTTCTCGTTGCTGTCACCTGCAAAAATTCCGTGGTTTTGAACAAAAATAAGCTTCTTCCCCCCGATAATGCACAAGCTCCGAAAAAGGTCCCACCATCCTGGTGCTTGCCCTGCATGCTGGATGGGCGGTGCTCGATCGGCTTGTTCCGGTTCTTCTGGAGGATGACGACGCGGGTGACTAAAGGGGTTGTAAAGTGGCGAAAAAGCGCATTTTCCTCAAGAATCTCTGCTAGTTGGCCCTGAAAACTAGAAATACCCACGCAAAGCTACAACAGCGATCAGGGCCACGGTTCCGATGATTGAGCACGAGATGATCATGATGATCTGCCCACGACGGAGGGTGCGAACTGAAAAATGGAGCTTTATTTCTCTCTCTCTCCTCTCTCTCTCTCTCTCTCTCTCTCTCTCTCCCTCTCTCTCCCTCTCTCTCCTCTATCTACCGTACATTCGCACTCTCCCCCCGGCAGCACCCTCTTGACGTCGTGGATGGATTGGCACTCGGCGCTGCACAGGAGGGCATCTTCTCCGGTGCATTCTGGAATTGTCAGAATTTAGAGTTTCACACTTTATCCCACTTGCAAACGTGCAGATGGTCTTGTTCTGCTTGTCGACAATCATCGAGTTGATCCGCTCGAAGCCGATGCACGTGTAGTCGTCGTTGGCCGCCCAACAGGCCAACGTGTTCTTCAGCCCCGCACACTCCTTCGCCGGCTTCAGGTCTGAAATCGAGAGCTTCGAATGTTCCCTCGGAAGTTTGGCTTGGCTTGGCTTCGGCTTAGCTTAGGCTTGCCTGAGGCTTAGGCTTAGTGCTTACTTGGTAACTCGTTGGGGTTGACGAGCTGGCAGCTGTCGTGGTCCCCGACGGACTTGATATGCCAGTAGGGCATGCAGATTTTCTTGTCACCCTTCTCGCGGATGGAACATGGATGGTGGCCGATGGGGCAACCTGAAAATCGAGATGCTTGAATGGATCAAAGAAGACGCCCACGATCATCGTGGCACTCCCTCGTGCGGTCGTTGAAGTAGCGCAGGTCGGCGGCGCGAAATCGCGGCGTGTACATCTGGATGCAGATCGGGTCGTACTTGCCGCAGTTGACGTGGGCAGCCGGACATACTGGAAAGAGGAACGTATCGTACCGGAAAGCGGATTACCTTTAGATTCAGCCGACAACTCGCAGCTGCGGTTGTCGTGGATGGTCTTGATGTAAGAGAAGAATGTGCACAACGAGTCGCCATTGGGCTGCTTGCAGGGGTAGTTGGAGGGTTCTTCGTTGCAATCTGAGCAGCAGGTTAGGCAAGGGTTTTTCACTACCAATCAATGTGCAGATCCTCGTCGTCTCGTTGTAGAACTTGATGTCCTTCGCCGGGACGCAGAGCGGCACGTTGCGTGTTCCACAATCCATTTCCTGGGGTAGGTCGCAACCTAAACAATGTTTTTTTCTTGGATCTGAGTCGCAATATCGGCAAATTCTCTAAATGGATCCCACCAGCAAATTTCCAGTCAAGCGGAAGGTTGCCCTCGGAGAGCTTGTTCAGCGGGACGCAAGGCTTTGATCCCCCGATCGAAATTTGAGCATGGCCCGTCGGGCAGTCTGCAATTTTTGAGGGTTTTTCGATGAACTAGAGATACCCCCCCCCCCTGCCAGCCGACCCCACCTACAGGATTACTGCTCCCTGTTCATCTACAGGTGTGTAAAGTATACGAAAATACTCGCCAGACCAAGACGAACATTTTGGTATACTTTACACATCTGTAGATGAGCAGGAAGCCGAGATACGGTAGGTGAGGGCCGGCTGGGCGGGAAACTGCACTCTAACCTAGGGTTTTTCAGTACCCAATTCAAAGAATACGCCAAATCACCTGCTATTTTGCATCCTGTGGCGGTGACGTTGAGTACCACCTCCCGGCGCACACAGATTTGATGCCCATCTTGGCCCGGGCAAGGAATCTCATCCGATTTGCACTTCGAAGATGGTGCCGGCGACACGGCGACGAGGTGGCGCAGGCACGCCCCAAGGAACATCATTCGCATCAGCGCACGTCCGCAAAACATTGTTCTGAAGGATATTTGCATAATGTCAGAAATTTGCATACCTTTTTAGGTATGTATAGGCCGGGAAGAGCAGCGGCTGACCGGATGGCAGGGGGTTGCCGGGAAAGAATGAATTAATGGCCGGCATTTGGCGCCAGGCAAGCGAAATATTGATGCAAATTACGATAGAAAGCCATGCTAATGAGGTGCTTCCGTGATCTACTTGCAAATTAACTTTTATGCAACCGCAAAGCTTATAAATTTTCGTGCGGCTGTCTGGGATGCTTTTTGCTGCCTAATTTTTCATCGTGATCTGTTACAGCCTGGTCCAATTAGTCAGGGCTTCGAAAGTTTAAAAAGTTTATTTTTGGGGGCTTGGAATAGCCGATAAAGTTTCCGAACCGGCTGGAGCCCATCAGGCTGACCGCTCGGGTTCGATTCGTTGTAGATTTTAACCTAGCTTCAGACGCCACCTTTTAACGGTTTTTTTTGCAATTTTCTTGGGTTCGTTAGCTTAATCTCTCACTAGCACGCGAACAATGAATTTTAAAGAGATAACGACGGCAGAACCAATCGGTGACGCGAGGGAAAGGAAATGTCTCTGCGTCTCGCCCCCGGGACCCGTTCTCTACCCTGTTGGCTACGTGCCAAAAAGTCGATCCGGGGTGATACTATACCAGCCGATTACAGCCGCTTCGCGACTGCAATCGGCTGGACTTCGGGCTACCGTCCACATTCTACACCACCACATTTCGTCCCTACCTTGCGCTGATGCCTTCATGGCAATACCTACACTGATGGCTTCAGATACTTCCTCTATCCAATCCCCCCGACAAAAACATAGCTACCTTCCCGATGGCTTCAGATACCCCTCCGAGCCGAAATCCTCTTCAAAAACTACTTCGATACCTTCCTGGATGATTCAGATACCCCCCATAGCCGAAATCCCCTTCAAAAACTATTTAGATTCCATCCCGATACTTTAAATGATTTAAATAATGAATTAGCATAATTAAAAAGTATTTGAAAAGTATATTAAAAAGTATTAAAGTAACTTAAGAAAGCGACCTGGGCGCGGGAAAGGGCCTGGTGAAGGGGGAAGGGGAAAGGGGGCGTGGCCTGCCGGGAGAGGGGCCCCCACTCGTTTTATTAAGGCGCCACTTTCAAAGTTAATTTTAATAATTTGAATTAAAGCTTTTTCATATTTTTTATCAGTTTTGGGGTTTCTGACCACGCTCTATCCGAATCCGAAGAGAGCTAAGCTCTAGCTCCTTTCCCCTTCGAGTTGAATCCGGGACATGACAGACAGACGGACAGACACCCCTACCTTTTTATTATAGTTGATAGCCATGTTAATTTTTCCAAACCATTTCAAAACCATTTCTTCAAAACCATATAGCCATGTTAATTTGGCCATGATCTATTCTGCCCATAAGAAGAAAATTGTTCAAGGTTTGCTCGGTTCCCGTTGGTGACAAGTTTTTATTCGCAGCAAAACCGGTGTAGCACAATATCAGAAATCAATGTTGGCGATTATCTGCGTAGCGAGGGTGATGCAGACGGAGCTGAGGAGAAGCCAGAATGGACGAGAGCCTGGAGATTTTTCTGAAAACCAGGTTTTGCGCTGCTAGCGGAGGGACCAAACTTTTTTATCAATTCTCTTTATATTATATTATCAACAGGTATGTATAGGTAAAAAACGAAAAGTGGTTCTCCGCCCTGCTAAAATCCCCCCTCTAACAGTCCAGTACCAAAAACGAAATCGATTTCAACTTGATCCGTTACAGACCTTTCGGTTCGGTCTGCTCCTGGGCAGCCGGTGAGGCAGTAGCCCTCGCAGCCGCCTTGTCTTCAGCTGTTGCGCGGACACACGCGAACGCGCCGTCTTTTCGACGCAACGACTTCAGGTCGTCGTAGGCAATGCATTCCGTTCCGTTTTCCCCTTTGCACGGGTGCGTCTTCGGTGGGCAGCCTAGAAAATTGGTGGGTTTTGTCATATTTCTCCCACATTCGTTGAAAATTCATAACCCTCGCCTTCCATTGATGCATCCACCCATGCTTTCATTGTAGCTTGTAACAAGATCAGGTTCGATACATAGTGGCGTCCAGGTGCCGCAGTTTATCCGCATTTGCTCTTGGCATCCTGGAATCAAGCCAACTGTTCGGCATTTTTTGAGCATGGCTTTAATTTTGCGCAGGCCTGGCTCAGATTATCACTTCAGACTCGCAGCGCAGGGTTTGCTTAGACTTTGGTTTAGGCTTCGGCGTAGGCTTGGCTTAGGTTATGAAGATTGGCTTGGCTAACTTAAGTTTTCAGCCAAACCTAGGCCTAGGTTTGGTTTGGCTTTGCTTAGGCTTAGTCTAGGCTTAGCCTCGGCTTGACATAGGCATAAAGCTTGGCTTGGCTAGCTTAAGTTTTCAGGTCAGCTTAGGTCGGGAAAAGGTCTAAAAAGACTGCCCTGCCATATTGCTCCGAAACTCCGAAATTTAGGTGGAGGATTTAGGAAATAATTAGGTGGGTAAGACTCCCAGATAACCCACCCCCAGCCGACACCCAACTTTTGTATCTCGGCTCCCTGTTCATCTACAGGTGTGTAATGTATACGAAAATGTTCGTCTTGCTGTGGCGAGTATTTTGGTATACTTTACACACCTGTAGATGAACAGGCAGCCGAGATACGGTAGGTGGGGGGTCGGCTGGGCGGGGGGGGGGGTTTATCTGGAGTTTAGCCGTTAGGTGCCAGCGCCGCTATAATTTGAATTAACGGTACCCACCCTCCCAGAAATATGGGTCCGGGACAGTGCCATTTGCGAGACGTTTGAACGGGACGCAGACGAGTCCGGACCCCAAAGCGACCTGGCCTTCGCCCACTGGACATTCTGGAAGGATGTAGCAATCTGTCAAAAAAAACAAACAGAAGTTATCACCTTTGTACTGACAAACCGACGACTTGGGATCGACCTGATTGTACTTCTTGGAGCAAATCGGAACACCATCTTTGCCAGGACAGACTACCCAAGCTCCCGTATAACCTAATATGGGTCTTTTCGAATCATTTCTAGACTCAACCTTTACACGCAGGACTATCCTTCGGGCACACGTCTGCAGAAAACGTTGCGTTTTCCGCGTTGAGCCCGCCGGTGTAGAGGACGAAGACGAGCAGGTAGACGAACAGCATGACTCAAAAATTTTCGAAAAATGCCCAGAGTCTGACCGATCAGAATCTACGCGGCTAGACTGTAGAAGGATCCGAAAATAGCATCTCATATGCTACTTTCCCGCATTCAAATTACGAGAGGCTTTGGGAGGCGAGAGGCTATGCCACGATCGAAATAATTATTCAGACTGTCTATCTCGCTCACTCCCTCCTTCTCTCTGTCTCTCTCGGTCTCCCTCGCTCTCTCTCTCTCTCTCTCTCTCTCTCTCTCTCTCTCCATCTACCCACATATTCCCTACCGGTGCTCCCGTGATTTTTTTGGGCCAAATAAATCCAATAAATTTATCACATACGCAAATTGAATCAATTTCAGCAAATTATGGGCATCAGGCAAATTAAGCACAAAACTTCTTAAAGTGGCCAACGGCCTGATATGTTCTTGCGGGGAAAGTGAAGTAACGGGGGAGGAGGGATGGTGGACGAGCTGCGGTGCAAAAGATTACGGTAGGAAAGGCACTGGGTTGAGAGGGAGGGGGTACGGTATCAAGTACAGTATTCAGGGGTGTATTGGTTACACAAATAATACGGCGGTTTCAGAATTCAGCTTTGAGGGTAGACAGGATCGCTTGATTGTGGCGAACCACCTAAAAACCGATTTTTTAGGTTTAAGGTGTTGCGAGTTTCTGGATGTTCTAGCTGGATATAATCCCGACAGAAAAAATTTCGAAAGCTAAAATACCGACAGGCAAAATCCTCGACACATTTTTGACGTCAATTTAAATGCGACTTCCTTTTAGCCGGTTATTACGGCTGTCGGCATTTTGGTCTATCAGGATTTTGGTTGTCGGGATTTTGGCTTTTCTCCTAAAATGACGGTAACTACGCGACAAACCTGTGGACAAGTGGTGGTTGAGTGGAGGAAGGGTCGAAATAGCAGACGGCCAGCATGACCACGATCACGTTCAGAATGAAGGCGCCGAGCACTGAAAATGCGATGGAGCACGGTACAATACATTAGATCAGGATACGGTATGAGAGACTACGGTAACGTAAAAGCAATTTTTTTGGCGAACACTAAAATCCTTTTAAAGGCATGCAATTCAATTTTTGGGCCGTTGTTGGTGAAAGAATAATTTTTGGGCGCAGCCGAGCCAAAAATTTTACGTTTAAAGGGACCGTGACAGCTAGAAACTGCTATTAAGGCTTATTTTGAACGGAACGGCAAGTGATAAAACGGTTTTTCGAGTTTTATGATCCATGAAAAATCCATAATTATAATGCCATGCCCGTCCCTTTAAATTAACTCACCAAAAAAGAGCGCCGAGTCGATGGACGACGGGTCGGCGGATGGGTCGTCGAGCGTCATCCCGAATTCATGGTAGCTGCAAAAGAAAAAATTGTAATAGATTTATTTTTAAATTATTTAACTAAAGATCGGGTTTTTCGGACAGAATTGGGCATAAAATCGTAAATCTTTAGACTTTAGCCTCCGGTTCTCGCCACGACTGCAGCTGCGTTTGACAGCCCGCAGAAAATTGGGGTCACTTTTGGGGTGATCTACGGATGGTTCAGACTTGGAAAATATGCTCAGTTTTCATTATTTTGAAGGGGGTAGTTTAAGGCTATGATTAACATAATATTGATTATTTAAATACAAAATTTTTGAAATTTCGTAAGCAAAGGGCAATGCAGTTTATATAAATTTCAAAATAGATCTTAATAAAATTAGGCGGATGTAAAATGGCGCATTGTTTTTGTGGCTTCCTGCCTTCATAATGCCTTTAAAAAGCTACAAGATGAATTTGAATAAAAATTTCCGAAATTTCCTCATGGAAGCATACCGAAAGATACGATCCCGTACAGCGTACATTCCAGCAAGCCAATTTCAAAAACACGTTTTTGGCACCGACTCAAGAAAATTAATATTAAATACATCCGCGGATTGTCATGGGGACGTTTTTGAATTTTTTAAGGGCCTACAAAATTGCAAAAATTCTGAAAATACTGCAAAATATTTTTCTAGGGAAGTTTTGGGGCGCAATTACCCCCAGAATTCGGGCCCTAATTTTGCTTTCGCGCCCCGTAATTTGTATTCCCTCGGCGAATTTATTAATGGGATCTACGGAAAAAAGTAGGTTCTCGGAAATGTCAGAAAAAGGAGTCTGAATTTTTTTGGAGCATTTTTCAGGCAGAATTCACAATTTTAAAAAGTAAATTGCAATAAAATAAATTTAATTTGCTTTTAAAAAGTATTTTACGGTTTATTGATTTATTTAATAACCCGTTTTTAGAGCAATTTTTAGAAAGAACGCAGTGGAAAGCGGAAATTTACAGACAAAAAGCCAAAAAGACCACCTATGCAGGCCAATTTCCGGGGGGTTCCAGTTGTTCGGCCGCTGCGCCCAAAAAAGGCTTCTTTGCAACCGGCCGGGACCTTTGACGTGTTTCTTCTGGAGGGCAATTTTTAGGGGGAGGTAATTCCCGAGGTCTTTGCTCGTTTCCGGCAGGTTTTTGAGGCCTCCCGGAAGTCTCGAAAATTCCTAAATCATCACTGCTAGCCTACCTGGCTGTCGAAAGATCGAATTCATAGATGCTCTCGGCTAGCTTGCATTGCATCTACAAAATTTCCCCCCAAGTGCTCGCCGTTAGCTTGCCTGCTTCGGTAAAAGGTAATTCCGTAAGGATCCCTGATAGACGGCTGAAAAAAGCGTGAGAAATAGAGAGAGATAAAGCGAGAGAGAGAGAACGAGGGAGCGAGAATGAGAGTGAGAAAGCGACAAATCGACAGAGAGAGAGAGAGAAAGAGAGAGAGAGAGAGCGGGAGAGCGAGAGCGAGAGAGAGTGAAGGGAGTGAGAGCGAGAGGGAGAGCAAGTGAGAAAGAGGTAAAGAGAAAGAGTGCGAGACAGTGAGAGAGCGAGAGCATGAGAGTAAGAGATACAGGACGAGAGACTGACATCGAGAGAGTCCAGGAAGAAAGAGAGAAAGTTCCCTAAAGACCCACTACCGAACCTTCTCAGTCCCTTTAACAACCCTTACCTCGGGCACCGATTCGCCGAATATTTTGGGAAAATCATGTCCCGGTCTGTAGTCTGTGTAGCGCGGGATAAGCGTTGTTATTCGCCGGTTATCCGTGGCAAGTTCAAAGCCCCTATTTTCCTAGATTCGCCCCCATCTCAGGGGGATTCTAATTTCTCGGCACCCTGTCTGTCAACCTGTCAACAAGGCAGGCGCCACAAAAAAACGGCTGGACACGTCTTTTCTGTGAAATGCGTTCGAAATTAAGTCCCGAGCGCGTTGCCCAACATGGTCAAAAAGTTGCTGTTAAGGGGGGGGAGTGGAAAACTCGGGTTTAAAATATTCGCAAAAGCATCTTGAATAGGCACAGAAAGGGCAGGCTAGCAGCGACCTTGGCGGAATTTTGTCGGCACTAGCACACTAGCAGAGATTATTACCTCCTCTTTATAACCCTTCAAAACTAGACGCCAAAAAGGTGGGCGGGTCAACGAGGTTTTCTAAAAAGCAACAACCCCCAGTCTCTTTTCATGACTCTTTGCGAATACAATGGCCCGTTTCTTGGAAATGCTGAAAATTTGATGACAAGACCAGGGGCGGCGTCTCCTTTTTGAGGCGTGGGAGAGGGCTAGGAATAGATTTTTCACCTAGGGTACCGCGTAAAAATTACGGAAAATGGGGGGTAGCCAGCAGAGATCTTTTGAGAAAGATGAACACAAGGGAGTGAGAGAGAGAGAGAGAACGAGAGAGAGGGAAAGAGAGGGAGCTAGCGGAGATTCTTGATGATCTAAATCCTAGCTACGGTAGCTTGGCATGCTATAGTCAGCCAAGAAAGTCTGAAAAGAACCGGATATTTTCAAGATCTTTGAGGTTCAGCTGCGGAAAGGAGAGGCGGCGTCTCTAATCGCAGAGATTCTATGCATTATTCAGGAGCAGAGGGATCCACTAATAAAAAGACAGAACCCGTGAAGATCCCTATGGAAATAGTATCGGAACACGGAATGGAATGAAAAAGTAGAGGATCAGAGATTCCCCAGTGAAAGGTAGGCGAGAGCGAGAGAGCGAGAGAGAGAGTGAGAGAGTGAGACAGAGTGAGCGAGAGAAAAGCAGTGATATACGCAGCAGAAGCCTTTTTGACCTCGGCGCCAGTTTTTCTGGATTCTGACCCAAACATTGAGCCCTACATATGCAAACTATGGCTTCTAATCTGGATACCGTAACCTCGAAAACTTTATTATTATCTGGGTACCGGACTGGATTAACATTTTTCCGCACGTAGGGACGAAGACGCGGAAATGAAGGTTCCTGGCGGTCGCAGCTTACTCGCGAGCTAGCAGAGCCTAGGGAAAGCCCGGCGATCTAGCCGTGATCCCAGCGGAATTTGGAATAGCCGAAGGCTGTTAAGGTTTTTTTTTTGAAAAATATATAAATAAATTTTGTTTTATCAACTATAATAATTTTATAAATCAATAAGTTTAGAAAAATTGGAATGTCGACAACGATTTTGGACAAGGTGAATTTCGCAATACGGACCTCCTAATAACATTTTTTAGGCAAGCTAGCAGGGATACTTTGCAGAAAACTTAAAAAAAACTTTAGGCAAGCCAGAAATCCGTGTGAGTTTCCCCCAATTTTCTAATTAAGCGGAACCAAAAGTTGGTCTTTTGGTCGGGCTGGAGCGGCCAACCTGTTAATGGTCGGATCCGGAAATGAGGAATTCATCAAATAAAGGAGAGCACGGCAGGCAGGGCAGGAGGCAGGCAATAGCTTTTCCGCTCTTTGAATTGGCCCCCGTTAACCCATAGGTCTAGGACCAAAACGGCTGGTGTCCAATTTTACACCTCTTTTCCGACGGGGCTGAACAAAGAGCGATGTCAGAACTCGTCAAAGTTGAGATTGAAATGGACCCCGGGAAGGGTTCAACGATCGCAAGGGATCTCTGCTAGCCTGTCCGAGTCCGGATTTTCCGCAAAAATCTATGCTGGGATGCCCGTATTACCGAACCCGATAATACCGACAGCGAAATTAGCTGGTTTGGGGAAGTGCCATTAAAAAAAAGTGGCTGAATATGTCGGGATTTTGGCAGACGATATTCTGGATGCTAGGATTTGGACTGTCGGAATATTCGCCTGTCGGCATTTTTGCCTGTCGGGATTTGGCCCTGTCGATATTTTCCTTGTCGGGATTTTGGCCTTTGAGGATTTTTGGTTGTCGGTATTTTGGTCCTTCGGACTTTGCTGTCGGGAATTCGGCCTTTCGGGATTTTCAAAGTAATTTAAATGCCACTTAAAGGCAAAACTACAGACAAAATACTACAGTAAAAAATGTCGATAATTAGAATGCCCAACTCAGAATTTCAAACGTCATAATGCCGAATTTTACAATCCTGAAAAACTCGCCGGACAGCTTGAATTGAATCGTATAAATTTCCACATTTTTGAAATGCCGACATTGCGAAATCTAGGCTTTTCGAATTTTCGACAACCAGCTTTTTAAAGTAGTGAAATTTCCGACATCAGAAGTTTGAGAAAATAATGGAAATCGACAGTTAAAGGCACCCTAAAGTCAAATCCATACCGATAGCGGTCCTGCCCCAAAAGCTCCTGGCTCTGCTGCTTTGCGTCCCTTAAATTAATTCAATCCAAAAAATCGCGTGTGATTTCCACACCCGCCCATCATCACCGTACGCACGCGCATCATCACCGGAATCCCATTCTCCGAGCCGAACAGGTAGGAATTCATCGCGCGAGGGGGTACGGTAGCACTTTTGCCAGGGGCGCAAAATATGAACCCGCAGCCGTATGACCCCGAAAAATTTAATTACCATCCCATCGCCCGGAATTTTTACAAATTCCCCGTGACAAATTGGTTTTAGGCTTCTGGGTTTTTTTTGGGATGATTGACAGCCGGGTGGCGTGGGTTTTCTTGGATGATTGTCGGGGCCTCTGCAGGGTTAAGCCCCCGGCGAACAACTGTTCCCCCGGAAAAAACACCTCAAAAATTGGCCGCCCAGCATCTGGAAGCGCGTAATTTGTCGGTGAGTGGAATTGGTTACGACCAAATCATCCGCAAAAGATCTTTGCTAGCTTGCCAGGAAAATAATGAATTCTCAAGGAAAGCCTGCCTGTGGGCTGGCTAGTCTGCGCGATTTCCTAAGACATCTTTGCTCGCTAGCCCGTCTAAAATAAACAGAAAACTTTTGCAAGCCCTGTAAACACTTCCCAAAGAACCTCCGCTAACTTGTCAGGAAAAAATTGCTTCGAAAGGAATCCCTTTTTGCTCAAAAATTCCCAAAGCGTCTGCGCTAGCTAACCACAAAGAGCCGATGCGAGTCTTCCTAAAGAACCACTGCCCAAGGGTTATCACGAAATTTACGTAACGAAAAAACTATGAGGCTTCCCAAAGGACCTCTGCCAGGATGTGATAGAAAAACAATGATTCCTAACTGATTGCTGCTTGCTGGTCCGCTTAAACAAAAACAAAAGAGCGATCAAAACGTATTAAGATCGCTGTTCCATAAACACATTTCCGAAAGGATCTTTGATAACCTTCCAGAAACAACGTTTCTCAATAATGACATAGAAGCCAGCGGCCTAGGACTTCCTGTTTATCACGGAATTCGGCCAGAATCCCGGAAAATACTTTGAAATGGATACGGAGATATCCCGGCAAAAACCAAGGCAGGGGGCGGATATCCTGTCACCAGAATAGCAAAGCAGATCTGGAGGGGCAGAGAAAGCAAGAGAGAGAGAGAGAGAGAGAGAGAGAGAGATACGCCGCCATGCCCAAAGAACCTCTGCTAGTTACCAAAAACCAAAAAGACAAGAACAAAAACCAATTACAAGTTGGTTTTCAAGTTATTCTCAATTTTAAAGCTACCTTCTCTTCAACCCCTTGTTTATCTGATCCTCAATGAGCATACAGGATGTGAATATACCGTAAACCGGAAACCGAAAAACCTTTCCCCCGAAATAATCCGTTTCCGGTTTCCTGAAATCTTTCCTCGCCAGGTACCTGCTACCCAATCTCGGATTAATGAACGTTTTTCAGCGACTCTGTGGAGTCTAGCGTAGCTGAGAAGGATTTTTCGTTTTCTCTAGCCAAGTTCCCGGGAACGCGAGTTCAAGAGGCCCGCTGCCAAAAATCCAGCAGCCGATAATTAGATTTGGTTGGGGCCTTGTTTGCCAGGAGGACTCAAAAAAGCTTTGAAGCTGGGCGAAATCGGTGAAAAATGATGAATATTTTTAAATTGATTTACAGATTTAAAATAGTTTAAATAAATCACAGAAAGTACGGCCATTAAAATTGTTTTTAAATTGTTTGTTATTGTTTTGAAGCTAGCAGATATTTTTGAGAAATTAAAGGAATGGACCGGCCTACCAGGGCCGCTAGCAGAGATTTGTCGGGCAGCCGAGGCAAACTAGCAGAGATTTCTGTGGAAATTATAAACGATTTAAAAAGGCCTTATTTCGGAGGGCAACTAGCAGATTTTGTTGAGGAATTGAGCCATGTTAAAGGTAACTAGCAGATCATCAAAGAACTGCAAATCCATGACCTCTACACAAATTCAAAAACTAAAGAGTATTATTTTCAACTTACGAATAAAAATCCATGGTTTCCGGCCAAGTCCACCACGCGGTCTAGGTCATCTGCGGCAAAGGAGGGGGATTAGGAGTAGATTTATTCGAATCCGCGTAGAAACACAGACACCACACCTCCTTGTTGCCCCTAGCCCCCGGAAGCCACACCGGGTTTCATGAATTTTTGACGCCCAGCAAAAGGGGGCTGCAGCCTGGGGGGTGGGGTGAGTTTCAGGGCCCGCTTTCTCTGGGTGTTTGAAGGGGGATGTTCTCTCTGTTTCCGTCTCTCAATCACTCTCTCTCTCTCTCTCTCTCTCTCTCTCTCTCTCTCGCTAGCTCTCTAGCTAGCTCTCTTTCACTTTGGTTATTTTTCCTAGTTCTTCTTGTCCATAAAACATCTAGCTGGATTACGATTGTTTTGGAGGAACATCAAAATTTCTCGTTCTATCTCTAACCCTTTCTCTCGTTCTTTCGCTTTCTCTCGTTCTCTCGCTTTCTCTTGTTCTCTCGCTTTCCCTAGCCTTCTCTCGCTTCTCTCTCCCACTCCCCCTCCCGCTCTCTCTCTCTCTCTCTTTCTCTCTCTCTCAAAAGCAAAGATCCACCTCCATATTCACCCCTTCACCCCTCCAGGACACAAAACCCTTTTTTTAGTTTTTCTAGTTTTCAAAGGCCCGAAAAGACAATGACACCCACGTGGCAACGGAGCCCCGCAGCTAGTTTTTGCGTGGTTTGAGCCTTGAACTTTGTTGAAAAAAGAGTTGGGCTCGAATGTGACTTTTGAAAGGCCGTAGGCAGTTGGCAACGTGTCAATTCGTAATTCAGCAAAATGCGAAGTTTGTCAAAGGCTGCCAGAACCAGAAATCAGCCAGAATAACTGATCTAGACGTCAGGAGGAAAGAACCACCTACGAAAAAAGCGAGAGCTTTGCCAGACTCCGTAGCTCCTTTAAAAGAAAAAAAAAATCGGGTTCAAAAACTAGAACTAGATCCAGACCTCGAGGGTTTTCGACGTGGAAATGTCATAAGGTCGAATTTCCGAATGGTGAAATTTGCATAAAAAATCTCCGTCAAAAAAATCTTGAAAAACATTGACCTGTTAAATTTTCTATAACAAAATTTTGATCCTTTGCTTTTTAACACTATAAAATTACGGCATTATGATAGCTAATCTACCTAGAGAACTAAGAAGAACTAAGCCAAAATCCATAGAATTTTGTCAGACTTCGCTTTTACTTTAAAATATGATAAACCGGAGAAATAAACTATAACCAGAACAAAGCAGCGTAATTTAAAAATAAATGAAAGATTGCCAACTTACTTGTAAAATTCCATCTTCCACAAAAAAATCGTCAACTTCCGTGGGCCCCGGGGCCGAGGGCCATATGGGAGGGCTGCGGGGGTCCGGGGCCTTTTCTTTGGGCACCGCGCCACCCAAAAAAAGAGGCTGATGACACGCGTTTTGATGGGTGGAATTGATAGTTGGTGGGGGGGAATGGGGGGCACGATTGGCCCTGGCCGGGGGAGACCCAAAGCAATTTGCACCACCACCAGGGGGCCAGAGGGGGAGGGGCGAAAGATTGAGACGTTGGATAAGAGAGACAGAGAGACAGAGAGACAGAGAGGGAGAGAGAGAGAGGGAGAGGGAGAGAGAGAAAAAGACAAATCAAAAACACCTAACTGCCCCCTGTTGTTCCCTATCGTCGTCGTCTTTTTTTAGGAAAATTGGCCCGCTCGAGCCGGAACCGGAAAGTCCGGAAATTGAACGGAACACCTCCTTAAAACTATATACAACTGTTTTCCAGCCTGAAAATTGACAGATAGCCTTGGGGAAGCGCTATCATGGGCAAAATTTCGAAACGATTTCGGCAGCCAAAATGCCGACAGCGAAAATCTCAACAGCAAGTTCACCGATTTCCATAATACCGACAGCCATATCAGGAAGCCATAATCCCGACTGCCATAATACCGACATTCCAAAATCCCGAAATTGACAATCCCGAAATCCCGACATCCACCATCCCGACATATCGATGCTAGTTTGAATCCCACTTCTTCTTAAGCCACTATTTTGCATGTCGGGATTTCGTCTGTCGGTATTTTGGCCTATCGGGTTTTTGGCCTACTGAATTCTGACTGTCAGGATTTTGACCTGTAGGGATTCATGTAAAATTTCGATCAATTCAGTTGGGAAATGGAGAAAATCTCCATTAAAACCGCCGAAAATAAAAAGTATTCAAAATTACGGTAGGCCAAAGACTGACAAGGAGCGGGTTTTGGCCAAAAAAGTCTAATGCATGAAAATGAGGGGCCAGCGGACTCCGCTAGAATACGGAATGACGCTCAGCTTCTGCGGATCGGCTCAAAAAGACACGGAGAAGAGAAGACTCTCAACAATACTCAGCTATTAACGAGGTGTGGTACAATCCATAAAGAAATGAACATTTTTCCGAGCTTATTTTGGAGCGATGCGGAATTTTTGGGAGAGAGAGAGAAAGAGCGAGGGAGAGAGAGGGGGAGAGACAGAGAGAGAAACAAAATTCGTCACAAAGTGGACGCAAAATCGTGTTGCCATTGCGTTCCTGAGCGTAATTAGTAGTGAGACGGAGAGAGGGGGGAAAATCCCGCGTCGGCTCGTTTTTGGTGCCCGCTTGCGTAGATGGGCAGAATGCTTAAATAATGCCCTAAACGTGCAGATTAAAAAAAATTAAATGGTGTCTGGCGTTAAGGTACTAGGGGGCGTCTAGAGGTGTATTTCGTACTGTCGCAATTCATCTAATTACGTACATACATTTTCATATTTTCGTAATTAACGTACCGTACTCGGGTGTTATATTTTCGTCCGTATCAGTTAGCTATGTCGAGCTGTGAGATCTGGCTGCGGCGCCGGATGCAAAATCAAATTGGCACCGATCGAGGCGCTGCCGGGGCAGACGCGTAAAAACAGCATCCGCACCACCCTGGTCGGACTTCTTGTTTTGACCTCGTTAAATCGACAAAACGTCAAAAGGAAGGGAATGGAATTCCGGCAGTTTACTGAATACAGCTGGTATGTAGCCAGGGGGGGGGGGTCAGTCGGAATAGCCTGGGATTGGGAAAAGTCAACGAAACAAGCAAACAAAAATAGAAACCAACTGGAATGATGAACGACGAATTTAGGAAATGTTTTCTGGATATTTAGGTTTTTTGAAAAGCCTTAGAAACAGTTATTTCCCCATGACATCTGGCCCGAAATTCGACATGTGGCATCTATTTGGACTCGGCGGCGTGGAAAGCTGAGTTCGGAATCGATTTGTCATGCTCCCAAATGGCCTCTGCTAGCTTGCCTTTCCCGAATGGTCGCTGCCAGCCTGTCCGTGGATTGTGTATTGTTATTCAGACTGTTTGTGTAAGCCCAAAAATGCCCAGTAAGGCAATAGTAATTATTTCAAAAGTGTCATTCGTAAAATTTACTATATTTTAAATAACAAACTATCAAAAAAACTCTACACGATTTTCAGAATTTTGGATTATGGTCGAAAAAGTGGTCCCGGATTGCCTATTAATTTTATATAAATTCTTTCAATAGTGTTTTGGGAAAACTTAACCATTTTTCAAGCGGATAAAAAATGCTAAACCTTTTGGGAAAATGCGGTTTTGGTCCTAAAATGGATTCTTTTGTTTTTGTAACATTGTAAAGGTCCCACCCCCGATAATGCAAAACCTGGGCTATATCATCATCAATACCCCCATGTTCCATTCCATTCCACAACCATCCTCCTTCCCCCCACTCCGACCGTTCCAATTAGCACGTCTAAAAGGGATCTAAAAGGGCGTAAATCCGGCTATGTCGCCCTCCCCCATTCACAATCAGCTATCAATCATCTCCATCCACTCGGCCGCTCGATCTCATTTGATTCCCCCCTATTGTTTGCCCATCCAACCATTCCTTCACCCCATCACTCTCAGGACTATCCGGCATCTTCATTCCCGTTTACTGTCACAGCCACCAGGCCTGGTTGATTTAGATTATTTTGCAATTTTCGATCGAATTAGAACTTTTTAAAGGACCACTAAAGGTTGAATTCATAGCAGTATACGATCGCTGTGGATTTAATGTTGCTATACGCGTTGTTTTCACGTTTTAAAGAATCTTGGAGCCTTGTCGATAGCAAACTTGTACCAACACAGTTTCACATCGTTTGTAGGAAGGCGTTATTTTATCCTTCTAACGGGCCATCGAAGACAAAATCCGTGACAGAATTGAAGTGTTGTGGCTGTCTGTGTTTTACTTGATTTTCAAGCCTGATTTTACCAGGCCAACAATTTTCCTTCATGTTGTCTTCAATATCTCTGCAGAAGCATTTTCGATGTTTTCGTACTTTGTCCGCCTCCAACTTCCTAGCTGATTTGTCGTCGGGATGTGATCATGGCTGTCGGCATTTTGGCTTTTGGGACTCTCTCTTTCGGGGTTTTGGCGTTTCCCTAATACTAACCATTCATCCTTAAAGGGGTTCGGAACTCAAAATTCGCGCGTGCAGGGATTGAACCTACAGGTCAAATGGCGAGGGGTCACTGCCGAGAATAACCAGAAAAATTATTTCATTCTGAAAAAACGTAAAATTTTAGAGTAAAACCGAAATTTCACGAGCGAAAACAAATTTTTGAGTGGGCGACCATTACATGTCGTAATGCCTTGTAGCCACCCAATTTCTCGATTTCGGTGATTCTCTCATCAATTTTCATAATTAAAAAGTCTAGAATTATCAAAATTTGGCGAGGATTCCAGAAATAACGCCAGAATTTTTAGATTCAAGGGTTTTCACGCTCAAGCGGGGGCAAAAGATCATGCGACGCGGTCACGATGCAGTCGTATCTGATTATTTGCCAGGAATCAACGCCTTGGAACAGATTTCGGAGCCCCTTGAAATGCAAAGTTTCCAAACCGGCCAGCATTTTTTGGGGCGATTTCCTCACGTCGGTACGTGCAGCCGGGGGTTGATAATTCGATAGTCGTCCACCGTGTTCAGTCGTTCCGTTCCGTTCCGTTGCGTGGAC